CCCCAAAACCCCAAAACCCCAAAACCCCATAAAGTGATTATTTAAGAATCATTTGAATTATGAAATTAACTAACTTAGGAATCATTATCTCATGTGATAATCTAAATCTTCAATCAAATTTCTTCCCATATTCAATTCTAGGAGTAGTCTTCTTAAGGCCTTTATTGAGGCCTGGGTAAATGATGTCAGTTTAAATACCACCAGATGAGTTAATTTGCTTTCCAGTCTGCCTTTGAAGCTGCTCAGTCAGCATCTTCTGATGATTTCTCACATCCTCAGTCTTTCTTCTGATTTCTGCCTCCATCTCTTTTTCCATTTCTCTGAGACCTTTCTTCTCAATGTCTCTTTTCAAGACATTACTATTCTAACCATATGCCTCCTTAACTGAGAAGAACATAGGCCCCATTTCAGCTAGCCAATGTGGATCAACTGCTGTCACACACTGCATATACTCTTTAGTGGTCATTACGAGCTCATGATAAACTACATAGTCAGGTGTAAATCCTAAGCCATATATAGCACTGGAAGGATGTAACACGCAAGGTATACCTGTTCTTAAGTTGACATACTCACCTATGCCTTTAATCTTAGCAGCATTGTGGAAATATCCTGAGCAAATGGCTTTCCTAACTTAGTCCCAGTCTGTGCCAACACTATTCATCTCCATCTTTAACTACTTCATTATATCCAATAATTGGGATCTGACTTCACGGACTTTCTTGAGAGCCTTGCCATGAACGAAGTGCTTAGTTGCCCATTCTTAATCATAATTATGCATCTTCCACTAATCATAGACGTGAAGAAGTGTCAGATGATCAGACTCAACAACAAAGAATTTTTCTCTGGCAGCATCACTCTCTTATTCACGCCCTTTAGGTCTGAAAAAGATCGAAGGAACAGATAGCATGCTCACTATGGTAAGAATCTCTTGACTGCAACCGAACTAGTCACTCATAATAAGCATTTTACTGAGAGGTGGATCAAGAGGGAACTCGACCATTTTACGACCAAGTTCAGTTAGATTGCCAGTGTTATCTAGAGCTCCCAAAATCCATAACTGATACATACTATTCAAAATGGTTTCCTATGGAGGTGGGTCCATGAAGTCGAATTCCAAAAGGTTATCAACATTAAGTGATTTAAGCAAGAGAACAACATTGGAGAGATTGGTACGCTGGATCTCTGGAATATTATTCTCAAGCAGTTCAGTTCTATAGCAAGTATCTGTATAGAGTCTGTAGCATATTCCTGGGCCAGTTCTACCTGCTCTACCTGATCTTTAATTAGCATTAGCTTAGGATATTGGTGTTATTTGAAGAGCATCCATACCAATCTTTGGGTTATAGACCTTTAACTTACAGAGTCCTGTATCGATAACAAACTTCACACCGTCTAAAGTAAGACTAGTCTCAGCAATATTAGTGGCTACCACACACTTTCTGAACTCACTAGCTTCAAATATCTTAGCTTGTACATCACTGGGCAATTAAGAGTAAATAGGCAATACTAGCATTGGTGTCACTCCTTCCAGTTTCTACAATCTCTCTGCAATTAAATAGCAAGTGGCCTCTATATCCTCTTGTCCTGTCATGAATATTAGAATGTCTCCAGGTCCATTTTGAAGATGAATAGTAAGTGCTTGTTTGACAGCTGCATCTACATAGTCCTCTTGGATTGTTTTAGAGAAATATTACTGAACTGGGAAAGTTCTACCAGGAATGGTGAAAATGGGTACATTTCCAAAGAAGTCGGCAAATCTCTCAGCATTCATTGTGGCTGATGTAATGATAAGCTTAATGTCTCTGCGCTTCTATGCTACCTTCTTCAAAATACCGAAGAGCACATCAGTGTTAAGTGATCTTTCATGAGCTTCATCCATTACTATGGCGCTGTACTAGTTCAGTTCTGAGTCTATCAAAGACTCTCTCAGCAATACACCATCTGTCATGTACTTGATAATGGTCTCTTTGGAAGTGCAGTCCTCAAATCTGATGGAATACCCAACTTTAGAGCTGAGCTCCACTCCCATCTCCTCAGCAACTCTCTTGGCCACTGAAACTGCAGCCACTCTTCTTGGCTAAGTGCAACCGATCAGACCCTCTTTAGAATATCCATCCTCATGCAAGTACTATGTAAGCTATGTAGTTTTGCCACTGCCAGTCTCTCCCACAATGATTACTATTTTGTTGTCTCTAATGACTGTTAATAGCTCATCTCTGACTGAATATACTGGCAGGTACTCTCTCTGCTCTTTTATTGTCTTTGATTTGGCAAAGTCACTCACTGCTTCATTCTTAGCTCTCATTGCTGCTCCATATTAACTGTCAGTTTTATAGTCTACTTCTTCCTCTTGCCTTTTACTTGATTACTCAAGAATCTTCCTTCCAGGGGCATTAGAGTTTTCTAGTTTGTCAATGTTCTTATTAATCTTGAGAAGACTTCCAAGTCTGGTTTTATCAGTCAGTTCCCAGAATTTCTCTCTCATGGCTTCTCTATTTTAGACTTCTCTAATCATTCTCAGCACCTAACTGCCCTTTTTGCAGACTTGATAGAAATCACCAGTGGGATCCTTAACAACCTAGATGGGCTCAGTCTGAGTAGTGAATACTATTCTACCATCTAGGAAGGGTGGCTTCAAGTCATGAACTAGTAGGATGACTCGCTCCTCATCAGTTTCCATTAGCATGTCTCCTTGTCTGTTACCATCTCTGTACTCAACAACTCCTGACCTCATTAATCTGTCCATTTCCCACTTGTCATGATCAGCTGAGTTCAAACTCTTCTTAGATATCGGCTGACTCAATTACTTTTTCTTTCTCAGTAATTCCTCAGCATTCATTTTTTCCTCTTCTGCAGAGGGCCCTCCTAAGAACTCTTCAAATGGGTCCTGTCCATTACCATATCTGATGTTTGAATCCTCATCAGCATCATACCAAGCTCTGTCCATTTCCTTCTCTCTTTGCTCCCATTCAAACGCTGTAAACTCATCTTAGTACTTCATGAATGCGAACTCTTCACTATCCTTAGCATTACTTAAGTCAACTCTACTCATCTTTGACTCATCTTAAACTGCGCTTTATTTCCCATTGGATTTATTGTTAAGTGGGTTACTGCTGTTTGGTGTCTTAAACAAATCCGATGTTAGCTAGTCTGAGGAGTTTTAAGAAGCGCGGGATTGTGACGGGATAAAAGGCTTAATAGTTGCACCCTCTGATCCTTTGAAGAATAATGGAGTCATTCCTGAGCTGATCATAGTAGACCCTGTAGGTCTTCTGTCTCTATCTCTGTTCCTCTCAGAATAGCCATCTCGTCCATGTCTTTCAGACTCTCTTCTTCTACTACTATTACTATCTTCATGCCTTGAATCACGACTACTTCTGGCACCACTATCATCCCTAGAGGAGTGACGATAGTGGTCATCTCTGTACTTTTCTGATCTACAATCTTATTGACAATTTTTAGATATCAGAATATACCTTCTATGCTGTTCCTCTGAGTCCTTGCCATCTCTATCTCTATTCCTAGCCCTCCTTCTCTCACCTGAGTCAGACCTTGATCTCGATCTTCTTTTAGTTGTTGATGATTGCTCTCTTCTATCTTTCATATTTAATTTATTATTATACTATACTATAAAACACATTCTTCTTTCTAGCTATGGGGTTTTGGGGTTTTGGGGTTTTGGGGTTTTGGGGTTTTGGGGTTTT